TTTAATGTTTAATAACTTTTTCCCCCCTTGAAAACTATATATATATTACTGCCAGACTGCTTATGCCATCAAACATATTTTGTTGGAATGTCGAAGTTTGACTGCCCTTACAGAGAGCTTTGCTTAGCGAGAGCTCTTTCTAGCTTAGCTTCAAACACCGTGCCAAAGCTTAGATTTTTTTCAGTTGCCGCTCTAAAGGTAAATAAGCAAACGCTAAAGGCTGATTTATACTTCTACGTCAAACGCCGGCATATGATACGGCGCTGACGCATAGCCCTTCGCCGTGGCCGTCAGCGTCACTGACGTGCACCTCTTAAAAAATGTAACTACACGTCGCAACAACGCGTAGCGCAAACTCTGTGATTGGTCGGCTTGGTAGTGCTGACGAGTCTAGGCAGGACCGAGAGCCGCGCGAATGGCGCGAGCGATTGTTTACAAGTGTGGAGTCCCGTGAGGGAGCTCCGGATGGAAAGTTTTGTTTTGTGTTTACCTCATAGTTAAAGTTGTTGCACGTCCGCCGGTTCCTGCCTCAAAATGAGCGAGTTTGAGTCAGGTGTACAACCAGGAAGTGTTCAGGAAAAGCAAAACAGCAGAGAAGAAACTCGACACAGAGGAACATTTACACCTCACTGCCAACTAGTGATTTAGAAGTGTAATGCGGACCAACAGAGACAGCGCGCAGAAGTCTAAATGCACAGCTGCGCGCGTTGCCTGCGCCGTGAGTTACACTGGTTACTTGATGCAGAAGTATAAACCAGGCTTAACTTGTAATGCTTGTCAAGCTGGATAACAAGTAAAACATCAGCACTAGGGACTTTACGGTCCTCACTTCAAAACGAACCAAAAGTAGGATTCTACTAAAGTAGGAGATTTACCCTGCTGTTGCTCCCTTCCACCTCATCCCTGTCTATGAGGCGCTGAACTCCGTATCAGTGCGTGAGAGAGACCGTGTTCACTCTGCTCTGCGCACAACTATAGTGTTTTTTTTTTATGATTAAATGTCCCGTGTTGCGCAACACAACGAATCACTAATGAAATCCGGTGATATTGCTTTTAGTAATCTATTTTTATCGACTTAATTGATTCATTGTTGCAGCCGTAATATACATGCTTTTATTATGCATAAATAATTTTACAACACAGCTTTGCACTGTTAAAATATATGTATAATTAACACGACACTAACTTGGGCTTTTCTTTTCATTTTTCTATATGCATTTCAGATGCGATGCCTACGGAGGTGTCTGTAAAGGTGGGAGAGCCTGTCATTTTACAGCATAATATTTCTGACGTACACATGTATGATGTAATAGAGTGGATGTTTGAAGATGGCAAGACTGCCATCGCTCGAATCAACAAACAGATCAGTAAAAACCCCTCGTATGATGAAAAGAATGAGAAATTCAAAGGCAGACTGGCGCTGGATCAGACAGGATATCTGACCATCGCAGACTCCAAAACCACAGACTCGGGACTTTATAAACTCGAGGTGATAGGAACCAACTTAAAAGGGAACAGGAACTTTCGTGTTATAGTCAGTGGTGAGTACAATCTGCCGTTTGCTAGTCTTAAAGGGTGAAGATTTGTTATTGAATTTATAGGATTTCATTCTGAATTGATTGTCTCTCTTTGTTTTTTTTTTACAGAACCGGGTCTGTCCACAGTTTATATTGTGATCATTTTGGTTGTTATTGTGTTGATCGTGGTGGCGGTGCTCGTTGCGATTAAGTGTCGCATTAATAGAAAGACTGTATTATAAAAATAACAGAGTAAGTAAGCATCTTATATTGACTTCATTTACTGCAATGCATTTCACTATGCTAAGGCAGAATACAAATGTTCATATTATTTAAAGGGTTGTATTTATTTGATAAACACACCGTATATACAGGGCTTCACATTAACTCCCGCCAAATGCGGGTAGATTTCAGCTGTAGCACCTCACTAGCTACTTTGGCTGGTTGAAAATTATTTTTAAATTGCCAGTTCTGGCTCATCACTAAAGATTAGAACTGTAGTTTAGGACAAGTAAATGCATGCAAATGTGATCAGCAGGACTGATAACTGTTCGTGCGAGCAAAGAAAGCAGGTGAATACTGATTGAGAGGATGTTCAGGCGATTGGTGAAACACAGGTCCTCACTCACTGACTAGTGCATCACTGTTACGCACACAGCAAGTGCTTAAAAGCTCCCACGTCCTTGCACGAAGCAACCGTGACTGGAGACGCAACTGGTGGGATTGCTTCTCTTTAAAATAGTCTGGAAAAAGGCTGTGCTCATGCAGCCACGGTCCTGCTGCTTTCCACAGCTCCAGATTTTTTGTAAGCAGCCGTGTTTGCCACTTTCTCTCGAACCATTCTTTAAACAGATTATTAATGGGCCTAATGTTAACCATGGCGTGCGATCATTCTTTCATTATCGCACACAGTATTTTTCGCCGGCTTTCTATTGCTTATAGTTAATTTTGTTTATATGTTTGAATTAGCATCCTTTACATTAACAATGCTTTACTAGGATATTAACTCTCCATTAATGTATAGTTGAGTTTTAGCCCATCATTGAGTATTTACTTGTGTAAATGTGTGTAAATTTATATTTTTTTCAGTTTTTAAATTAATTTCACTAATATTATTGTAATATAATAATTGTTATATTCAAATGTTCGTATTATTTATTTATAATACAGTTTGTAAAGTCATATTTTCTGTCTTTTAGTAGATATATTATGTTGAGAGACTAGCTTTGTTCACCAAATAAGTGGATCTAATTGGATTTACATTGTAAACATTAAGTAAAAGTTAAAAAGGTATTATTTTTTATTTCATATATTGAATTATTAGTTATGATACCCCTAAAATCGTTCCGCATAAATCCGCAGATTTTTGACAATTTACCACAGAAATAGCAAAAAATGTCTATTGCATTTTAGATGCGTGACAAATTTTTTTTATGTGTTAATGGTTTTTTAGGAACATTTTGTTGAATAAAAAGTGCATGTATACAGCTATATTTTGCTTGTTTCGACTCATGCTAATTTAAGGAAATATATACTTTGATGTGGCTAGATAATTTTTATTACATCCTTAGTAATGAGCACTGAAAATTCACGTAAAATAAAAACTAATTGCAACGTGACACTTTAAAACCATAACCTATTTTTAAATGTACATTGAGCAAGCTTATACACACACAGAAAATGAAATGAACGATGATGCATGTGGGCATATCACAAAGTTTAAATTAAGTAATTTTACCTTGGCAAAGTCACATTTATGCATGTAAAATATAATTTCCCAACTAGTGCTAGTGAAAATGGTGAGTGGCTAGAAATGTTGAAAAACTACTAGCCACAGTGACTGGTGATCAAAAAAGGTAATGTCAAGCCCTGAGTGGAATATTCTGACTGATATGATGAATTTTAAAATGGCGATTTTCTGGCTGAATAAGTTTTACATGTATTCCTGTGATGCAAATATAATTTTTTATTAGAAAACTTTCTAATAACCTTCATTTGTCGCTCAAGAAATCATGATAAATGTTTTTAAGACTTTTATTTTTTGAATTTTGTTTAAAAAATGTAGATTTCATTTAAAAGTAACTTTAAAAATAGCTTTAAAGCAGAACAACAAGATTCAGTATTGATAATAAAATATTGTATAAAAACTATAAATTTAATTATTGTACTGTTACTGGCTTCTAAAAAGTCATAGTATATATATATATATATATATATATATATATATATATATATATATATATATATATATATATATATAGAGAGAGAGAGAGAGAGAGAGAGAGAGATATATATATATATATATATATATATATATATATATTTTTTTTAGTTATAGAGATAGATAGATATATATATATATATATA